ACACCGCCTCCGATGGCTTGGTCACGTGTTGCGTAGGCCTGCCCTTCGACTACCTTTCCGTGCTCTCTTCGCACATGCCGGGCAAAGCTGGAAGAAGCGCCGCGGCGATCAGACCATGACATGAGCTAGAGGCATGAAGAAGCTGGCTTCAGCTTTGGCTTCGGTTGGTGCAGCCCGCCTTCCAGGTTGGGGCCCAAGGGATGGGGATTGTCTATGGTTCGAGACGCTGAGAGATATGGCCCGGAATAGAAGCCAGTGGTGTGAATGCTGTACGGTCTGTCTATCGAAATCCCGTACCCCGTAGAAACAAAAAAAAATTTAAAAAGTGTACGGTGAAACATCCAAAAAATTGTAATTCCTTTTATTCGTAATCTCCTATTCGGTCAGCTACATTTTTTCCCTATACTGTGTACCCCAGTCCCCCCTTTCGTTATTGTTATTGTTGATATTGTTATGGCTTAGGTGGTGGTGGCGCAGTGGTTTAGTCGCTGACACCGGCGTGCTTTGGACCCTATGGTCCGAGGTTCGAGCCATGCCACCGCCACCCGACTTTGGTGGTAGGCAGCTCTGCTATCGTCCGGTTCAATACCACGGCTAACCTATCGGGACCTTATGTGGTTCGCCACTCCAAGTTCCGGGGCTTAGGTTGCCGATTTCAACCACTGAACAACAGGTCCTCGTGACTATGGGGTTTACCCCGTCTGCTGTTCATCACACCTAGGTGTGTGCATACCCAGTAGTCGTCTACCTCATCACGCCTCATTCGCAGTTGCTGCTCAAGGATAGAGGGAATCACGTGGAGGTCAACAGGTGATGTGGAAACCGGGCATGAAAAAATGCACAGAGCTGTTAAGTAGAATAGGTGTCTCCCGTCTTCCAGGGTGAAACCCGAAAGGCTGCAACTGGTCAGTTGGAGGCACTGAAGGATATGGCAACTAACCGACATCAGTGGCATTCTTGTTGTCATTTCTAATCACGTCAAAATGCTTGAAAAGATGTGTACGCGCTCTCTGTTGACCATGGAGGTTCACTTTCTTCCCCTCCTCCTGTTGGGTGCAAACCCTGTCCACCGTGTACTTTCTCATTTTGTGCACATTGGGAACTTAGCTACGATCAGCAGAGTTCACTTCTCTGCATCTCGCTGCACGATGATGATGATGATAGTACTGAACGATGTTTCTAATTATTTCCTTGTTATTGTTGCTTTCATCCAACAAAGAATTCGAAGCTCCGTACCTACGTATCTTCCACACTTTAGTTGGATGATAAGTGAATCGGTTTTAAAGACATAAAATTTGGTTTTTCGAGCTACAAAAGACCATGCTTAGTTTAAGTATCGAGATGTTTGTATTTATCTTTATACACCTTTGTAAATTCAAAGACAACAATACTTTTTCTCGAATTTCTCGTTTTCAACTTATATCTTTCAAATTTTATCCGTACAGATGTTTCGCAATCTACTGAGCAGCCTAATCGAGCGTGTAATTGGATCGTATATCAATGATGTAAATAGTGAAAAACTCTCGTTTGGTCTTTTGAATGGTATGTAAAATTTGAACGACTTTGTGATATTGATTTTATTTGATTCTAGGAGATTTGGCTTTATCCAACATCAATTTAAAAGACGACACTTTGTATCGCCTATTTGACTTACCATTTGTACTCGAACAGGGTAAGCTATAGCATTATATCACTTTTGTACGATGCACAGTTTTGCTAGTCTCACTCAACGTTTTTATTCCTACTTGCTATTCACGATGTCACCACATCAATGCTGTTTGTTCCCTTTCCCATGGAATTTTCTACTCATGCTTTTCTATTAAAAAATTATTACTCCGATTTTCATAAGAACTCTTCAGATGTTTCATTTATCTTTTAGTCGTTCCACAGCATATATATCCATCTCGATGCACTCATAGTTGGCGTTCCTACGTTTCTCATTACAAGGCAGACAAATTTCAGTAAAGGGGATCCATTTTTATAGTTTAATGTTCTACTGCATTCAGATGGAGAGCGAAGTGGATTATTCATGACAGAACCAATTTATAATGTGTTTTAAAACAGCTATTGTAATTGTGTACGTGTGCATGTGGAGAATACAGTTTATGGGTTCATGAGAAAAGGTGAACCAGACCATGAAGTTCGGCAAGCGAGGTCAGTCACTTGAGGAGATTTTACCGCCCGTTCGATGGCTGAGCGATTGAGCAGAAAAAGAGTCTTAACTGCAAACACTAGTTATTGCTCACAGACACTGATAGAAACAATGGGAAGGGAAGCGAAGCAATATCGCATCCGAGCCAGTGGCTGTTTAAAGGAAGTCACCATTAGATCCGTAATGAAACGATTATTCTCAAGTTGAACACGATCAAGTAGAGAAAGGGAAGTGAAAGAGGGTGCAACCCAAACGTGATTAGATATATCTTAGCCTTGTATAGGAGTATGAGTTAAGAAGGTTCGCAGAAGCACCCAGTTTGAAAAATTAAATCGGTATTTTTGACGTGCTTGAGATAAGGGTCATTACTGCGGGAACCAAGAAGAAAGAATTAGGAAAAATAAAGCCCTTGAAGAGCATGACGATTTTGAAATGACTATGGAGCCTCCGAAATTAAGGCATCACTTTCAAGAGTAGCAAACAGACAGGCTGTTTTGGAGTTAATAACCGATGGGGTTAGATATATTTTAAGCTTCTGGAACGATGGTGTTACAAGACGGGAAGAATGGTGCCATTGGAAAAGTCCTGGATGGAGTTGAAAGCGGGAGATAGAAGAACAATAATGTATACTAAGAATAACTTGGGAGTGAGCACGGAATCTTGGGCACCTCTGTCGGCTACCTGAAGGATATCTGAAACAGTCCTGCCAACCTGTATCACGATCATGCGGTTACTGAAGACACTACAGTCCCTCAATTTGATTCCCAAAGGGAAACCAAAGGAAATAAATTTCGCGATCAAGCTTTCGTGTCGTTCTCGAGTGAAAGTCATCATGATATCCTGAGGCCCCGGATGATATTCACCAGGATTGTTCTTCACGGAGGACAAGATGTGAAGGGCGTGCGCCAGTGGGTCTCCAATGTATCTGTGTCGGCGAAACCTGTACCGGTGGTCACTCATAAGTGCGTGGCGTTTCAGGTGCGCTGGTATTTCTTTTTAAAAGTGGGTGACCATCAAACATCTCTTTCGGGTGCGCTAATAACCGTCAAACAATATATTTGTATATATATATATATATATATATATATATATATATATATA